GTCTCCTCTATCGTGATCCAAGCCTGGAGGTCGGTATATTACACCTAGAATTAGTTTTTCTTGACCCTCCACGAACTCTACCCAAACAGACTCTGTTAATGCTCCATCTATTTTTATACCTGTTTTTATGCAACAATTAATATTTTCTCGAACATACAATGCAACTCCTCCCCCTTTCCCATTACATCTATCCACATTGAATAACTTAAATCCCTGAATATTACACTCAGCAGTCATATCCCGACTCTTTAAATCATACCACATTTCAGTTAATGCAATGATATCAAAGTTCCCAGCACATGCTACCAAACGTAGTTCATTAATTTTATTTCTTGCACTTCGACTGTTAGCATAAAATACCATATGTTTTTTCTTCTGCACATTTTTCCTATTCATCTTTGTTTTTACACAATTTCTGAAATTATCATTACCCAGAGTTACTCCATGATAGTTACTATTAAGATTCTTAATATCAGAGCATAAGTCAATATATCCATACTCATTATTAATCATTTCTAAACCCATACCTCTAACTAATCCTAGTTTAAAGTCCTAACAACCCCTCAACTGAGTTAGCAAGAAAACCCACACCTGCCCTGGATAAGTGAACCCCATCCCTGGCATACATGTCATTTCGGCCATAGAAGTTGTCCCAGTTGTCAATGAATGGTACTGCATTATCCTTACAGTGTTTATCCAGCCAACAATTAATACCAATTGCTCTGGACAACCATTCATTACCAACACCTCTTCTTGGCAAAATGCCACATATAACAGGGCGACCCCCTTCTTCCTAATCATGTCTATAGCTGTCCTGAACTTTCTAACTAAATCCTCACTTCTACGCTTGCCTACATCATTGCCTCCAGCACTGAGGCAAATAATAGGATTGATCCCATTACCGTTCATGATGTTGTCAAGCCGGCTAACAATGTCCTCCATCCCAGCCCCAGGAAAGCATACCCTTTGTCTCCTACTCCTGTCCTTCAAGCAGAATGCCCTATCCATGTATCTAACCTGGCTATCCCCAACAACAACAATATTCTTACCTTCCTTGTTGTCGTTCGTCGTGACGATCCCAGTAGTAGACTCACATTCGTCGGGTAGCACCGAGAATGCGTTGGAGGTTTCCACGGGAGTTTCCACAGCAGTCTCTTTCTTCTTCATCGTTTCTGGCTTTCCATTCGTCTTCTTGATTGTCAACTTCGTCGTCCCCTGCTGTCCAGCCACTGACCACGATCCCTTCTTGACCTGAGGACTCGAAACAGGAGGACTACTACGAATCCTCTTGTTTTCCTCGGTCAATCACCGTATCTCCATCTTCGCTGCCCTCAATTCTTCCTTAAGTTGCTGGTAAAGTTGCTCGATGGAGGGCATCTTGGTTCAGTCCACGGGAGCAAACAAGACACTTCTTCACAGAGTTAAGTACAGGTCACCACTGAGTTAAGTACAGGTCACCACTGAGTTAAGTACAGACTGATAAATGATGCAAGATAATTATTATTATATTCAGAGATGGGCACTAAACCCATAAGGGTCATACAATGCCTATGTTAGCAAGAGTAAGGTGATGGCTTTCAAAAATCAGAATGAAATGAGTAGTGAAGTACTATACAGTACAGAGATATATCAGAAGAAATTTTTGTATTGAGATCGGTACCATGCAAGCATGGAAAAATAGATGGATAAATAAAATAAGAAGCACAAGGAACACATTGTTCTTGGTGTCACCAACAAATTATCAAAAATAAATTACAAAAAACAACAAAAGGCTGCCATAAGAATGTTCTCATTATATATATATATATTTAAACATCCCCATTCCTTAGTCAAACAATTACACCTACTCAGCATGCAATTATAGTCAGATCATTCAAATATACAAATGCTCCTCTGTGGAGAGGTGGTCTGATGTCAGTAAGCAGCTCTTAATCCAAGGAATTAGAACCGTCCTCCCCTTACTTAGCATGAATCTAATTGCTTCCCAGGCGCTGTATGACCTTTACAAGTTTAGAATGATAATAATAATAATAAGCTAATGTACACTCCTCATGTAGAGGACTTTAAATACATACTAATGCAAACCAAAACTCTTCTTTGAGAGCTGTAATAAAACTAATCAAAAGAGACTTGCAAGACAATATATGACCTTTATGTAATATCACAGTACGTAAGTAAGTTTATTTAGGTACAAGTACATGTAAATACAATTATCATGCACAGTAACATAGTGTAAATTACTTATGATAACCCAAAAGAGTACTTATTACAGTACTCTGGTATAATGAAATATCTAAGAAACAAAATTGCAAGTTATACCATAAAGCCAAAAGAACATGAAGGCCAGTTTTGAACTACAATAACTAGAGAATTTATAGTGCATTTAAGCTTTATTGGGTTATCCTAGGATAACCTAGGATAATCCAATAAAGTCAATGGATCTCATATCCATTGCTGTTAAAAAACTCAAATTTTACAATAATAACAATGCATAAAAAAATAGTAGAAGCATTAAAAATAAAGATTTTATTTCTTTGTAAAGGTTATAATGTGTAATTACAATTTTGGTTTGCTAAGTACAAAGAAAGCAACTATCATGCTGGGCATTTCAGGCAGACTCGTCCTAGTACATAATAAGTTTGCCCGAAATGCCTAGCCTTGCTAGGTGTTCTAGTGGCCCCCTCTGTAATTAGTATTTTATTACATGTAAACCACACAATAACCAAAATCTGTAAACCCTGCATTGTAATCCTTATAGAGAATAAACTTTGATTTGATTTGATTTGATTTGATTTGATTACTTAAATATAGACAAGAGTGGTTAACTTGTATTAAAATCTTTATATACTCTTAATACTAAATACTAATGCGAGGTAGTCAAGGTGGAGGTTTATAAGAATAATAATCTTGAAATTGCACATAATAAAAACAATATTACACATAATGGTTCAAATAGTAATATTTCATGGACTGTCAGATGTTTAATAGAATAGAGGTCATATAATATAATACATGTGTATTTGGGAGGGTTGCTTCAAACTGATTAGTTGTTTTGGTTGGTTAGGTTAGTATTGAGAGATGAGATGATTTTTAAGCGAAGTCCTAAATTTATAAGTAGTCAGGGGATCCTTTACCGGTTCATATAGTGAATTCCAAATCTTCAGGCCCTTTATGTGCATTGCATTTTTGCATAGTGTGAGACTGATATGAGGGATGTCAAAGAGTACCTTATGCATATTCTGTAGCAGCTATCAAGGAAAAGTTTAATTGGAGGGTTTATAATGGAGTTTAATGTTTTGTATATGTAGTAGTCACAATAATACGAGTGTGTGTCTTGTATATTCAGTAAGTTCAGGCTTTTGAAAAATGGTGGGGTGTGCTGTCTAGTGTGGTAATCATCTGCACAGCAGCTATTTGTTGGGCTATTAAAGGTTTAACATGATTGGCTGTGGTTGATCCCCAGGCATAAATACCATAGGTGAGGTAAGGATATATTAAAGAGTGGTATAGGGTACGGAGTGTCATTTGTGGTACATAGTATTGTATCTTGGAAAGGATGCCTACTGATTTGGAAATTTTCTTGGATATATGCTGTATGTGGGAATGAAATTATTATTAGAACCAATTTAGGCATTAAACCCGAAGGTCAGTAGTAGAAATAGCAGTGATTATTGCATGACACTAAAATACTGTATATAAGCAGTGATGCAGGAAAAAAAAATTACTTGACCATTTAATCATTAGAAGGAAGTTATGTATCATTTGCCAGAAATGTTGTGCATCTCATGAGCTTTCTGATTAATGCATAACTTGTAAATGCAGTGACTGGAAATACAGAACCTAGATGTATATGTGGAGCTTCAGGGTTTATATATCAACTTATTTAACTTATTTCGTCTCAGTTAGGCTGGAATCATTGAGTAGGTTCTGCTCACTAAATATTTCATATCTCTTACCAGTGGCTGTGAAAATACAAATACTTTATGTCTATTCTGCAGTATACAGATAATGCAGTTCACACGTTGCTATAATATTCATGGGGAAGAACTAAACCCATGGGGTCATACATTATTATTATATTCATGGGAAGCACTAAACTTGAGGGGAGAAAGGGAGGTAATCAGGTTTGATGAAGAAAGGATGTAACTTCAATTCCTTGGATCAAAAGCCAATCACCAACATCAAAGTACCTCCCTTGAAGGATCACAGTACATAAAATATATTTTATATTACTCTAAATATAATTAATACTTATCACAAGGACTCCAGTGGAAATAAGTCAGTCTGGCTTTCTTGGGTTATCCTGGGTAATCTACACGTGCTGCTATGTATGATAATCTATGTAACTGTATTTATGTGTACTTGTACCTGAATAAAAAACTCACTTACTTATTCTAGAACAGTGAACAAACTTGTCCATTTGTCCTTGTACCAGTCAAATTACGAAATGTAAACACATTGTAACCTTAGCAAAAATTTTTATTTTATTTTATTTTATTTTAGTCATTTCCTGCAATTTTCCATTTTTTTTTCTATATTAAACATATGTGACATAGTTATTACCCTTTTCTAATGGAAATAACAGTAATTAACGTCCCTTTTCGGCAATTATTTACTCTAGGAATTATATTAATATATTCACAAAAAGAGCTAAACCTGTATGTGACAACTTGTGCTGAGTCTTAACAAATTATTAAGTGACTCCCATGGATGGCAAGCCTCAGCAGGACTTATACATCCTACATTAAATAACTTTTGCATATGTTTGACTATATGCAATTCTTTGTTATTCAAGTTATATAAATTCGTTATACATAATATAATTGCCTTTTTATGTTGGATTACTACACTAATTAAACAACTTACACTTAAAGCAAGTGAAACTATATCCAAACCAGGTGTCATGTCTTGAAGAACTAATTACATCTATTCGTTGACTTCATTTATAATTAGTAAAGACATTATATTTATAAAATTATATTAACGGCATCCATAATTACCTGTTAAAAAGCCAGATTCTTCCAGCAGTGAAGGAACCTTAAGACTCCAATGCAGCCTAAGTGAAGAAGACCCAACACCTGCCTCTAACACCCGTGTTATGACACTGCACACACATGAACCTCACTTTACATACCCTAAACCCTCACATCAACCTAGTTTAACATATGTGATAACGTTACTTCTCTTATTTAGGTTGAAGTGTTTCTGGTAGGCTTATATGGGTTTGATGCTGACTTGGATCCCTGGTCTTAGAGGTGTGAGGATAACCCTCAATTATTTAAGATTTAGAATTATATTTAATTCTTTATTTCCAGTTACTGCATTCACAAAATATACAATAATCAGAAAGCCCATAGAATGCATAGTATTTCGGACAAAACTTAGAGAATAAAATTAAAACAAAATTTGGTCGCTGTGAAGCTTAGCTTTTAGTCTGAAATGATCGATCAATAATATATTTCTTAAAATCTTCAACATTAGGTGAGTTATGTAGGCTTATTTTGTGAAAGGGTAACTTAACGTAAAGAAACCCAACGTAACCCAACCTAAAGTAACCTTACGTCACTTAACCTTTCTCCGCCAGCGGTAGTAGTAGGAATGACACGTCTACGTTAACGTGATGCTCCAGTTATTAATGTACCTAAACAAACAAGCTTACTTACGTACATACATACTAACTTACAGGGGTACAATAGGCACAATAAGATAAGATAAGATAAGATTTCGTTCGGATTTTTAATCCCGGAGGGTTAGCCACCCAGGATAACCCAAGAAAGTCAGTGCGTCATCGAGGACTGTCTAACTTATTTCCATTGGGGTCCTTAATCTTGTCCCCCAGGATGCGACCCACACCAGTCGACTAACACCCAGGTACCTATTTGCTGCTAGGTGAACAGGACAATAGGTGTAAGGAAACGTGTCGAATGTTTCCACCCGCCGGGAATCAAACCCGGGCCCTCCGTGTGTGAAGCGGGAGCTTTAGCCACCAGGCCACCGGGACACCGGAGCACTGTATCAAAATCCGTAGCCCCAGACTATTCATTATTATTATTATTATAATCAAGGGGAAGCGCTAAACCCGTAGGATTATACAGCGCCTGGGGGGATATGGAAGGCATTCAGGCTTAATTCAGGGAACTGGAACACAGATCCAATTCCCTAAATCAAGAGCCCCTCATCAACATCAAGGAACCTTCCCTAAGGTGGCCCGGTGGCCCTGGTGGCTAAAGCTCCCACTTCACACACGGAGGGCCCGGGTTCGATTCCCGGCGGGTGGAAACATTCGACACGTTTCCTTACACCTGTTGTCCTGTTCACCTAGCAGCAAATAGGTACCTGGGTGTTAGTCGACTGGTGTGGGTTGCATCCTGGGGGACAAGATTAAGGACCCCAATGGAAATAAGTTAGTCCTCGATGACGCACTGACTTTCTTGGGTTATCCTGGGTGGCTAACCCTCCGGGGTTAAAAATCCGAACGAAATCTTATCTTATCTTATCTTAACATACCAGAAGACATCAGAAACACTGCTGGGTCAAGTGTAGAAGTCTGCAAGAGAAAACTGGACAAGTATCGTCACCAGGTGCCAGATCAACAGGCTGTGACGGATATGTGGGTAAGCGGGCTACCAGCAGCAACAGCCTGGTTGACCATGTGAGCACCAGATGAGCCTGGCCCAAGGCCGGGCTCAGGGGGTATATAAAAAAAAAACTCTGAACTCATCAAAGGAGTGAGGAGATAATGTTATCAACGCAGCAACGAGACTATATGTTCACAGCACATGATTATTGTAACGGACGATTACCGATTATTATATTGACCAACACTACTACTGTTATTACTACTACTAGTACCATGTCTTCTACTATTACTGCTAAATAAGATAAGATTTTGTTCGGATTTTTAACCCCGATGGGTTAACCACCCCGGATAGCAGTGCTTCATCAAGGACTGTCTTATTTCCATAGGGGTTTCTTCAATCTTGTCTCCCAGGATGCGACCCCACACCAGTCGACTAACACCCAGGTACCTATTTGCTTGTTAGGTTAAAGGGAACAGCAAGCGAAAGGAAATACGTCCAACAAAACATAGACTCCACAAAAGTCATTATATTAGACCTTAGTGCAATTACAAGTGAGAGTCTTGTTCTATTTTTAATTTGTATTTTTATATTACTAGTTTATACCTAGTTGTTCTTTAGTTCATTCCAGCACAACACATAGACAACATCAACTTCATTATGTGTAGTAGTGACTATACTCTATATGACCAAAATACTCTAGCTATATACTTGTCCAAACTTCCCACCACTACAGATATCAGTACTAGAACTCAACACACAACTCAGGATATAAATAACCATAATATAAACCTAGATGATTGATCACGTTGACCCTGATCTAAACCTCCATAATCTGACACCCAATCAAAACCTATTGGAAAGTAACTGCCTTTATTACACAGCATCACAAGCCAGCACTATCCTAAACAATGCTAAAAGTCTATCAGTACTTAACTACAACATCAGGTCCTTAAGCAAACACTATGATGACCTCCTGGCACTCCTTGAAACACTAAAGACACCCTTCTGCATTATTCTTACCGAGACCTGGCTTAAGCAGGACGTAATAGATATCTACCCTCTACCAGGATACACAGCAATTCACAACTGCAGACCAAACCAAGTTGGGGGTGGTTATTGCAATCTATTACTCTAAACCCAAATTATCTTGTATTAGCACCACTTGCTTTTGTGATGAAATGGGGAATACATTTTTTCTAATTTTACTGTTTAAAAAAAAATTAAGACACCTAAAAACAATCGGTGCCATTTACCGGATACCTCACACAAACATCCCAAATTTCAGTGAGAAATTAAAGTCACTAATAACAAACAGACAAATGAATAAGCACCACCTTCTCTTAGCTGGAGACTTCAACATCAACCTTGGCATACTAGATGTCAGCCTGTAACTGATTTCATCAACAATATGAACAACAAAACTTCTCATACCAACAAAACTAAACCAAACCAGGCTCACTGAGACAAGTGCAACCATAATAGACCACATATGGACCAATATACTAGCCCCCCTTAAATCAGGGATAATCACAGATAGCACTACAGACCACTACCCTACCTTCCTCCTGACAAACATTAGTAAACCACCACATGAATAAACAAATTTTCATTTAGACTCCATGACGAGGCCTCAATAAGGAAGTTCACAGCTGACCTTGAGACTGTTGACTGGCCTACATAATTCTTCCAAGGCCAATGGTTTTGATGACTGGACAGACATTTTTCTTAACAAATTATTTTAGACTATACAACAAACATTGTCCTATAAAAACGAAACAGATCACAAACAAACGGCTTGGTTGCCCATGGCTAACCGCACCATTCTGAAATCCATTGACAAGAAACACCAATATGAAAAGCATATAGACAGGGCTTAATACACAAAGAATATTCTTAAACACAAATTCATCATTTTCCACCAAAGTAATAAAGAAAGCCAAACAACTTATTACTCCAGTAGATTCACAGACACTAGAGGAGATATAAAAAAGACCTGGAAAACACTCTCTCAGATTCTAGGGACCCACAAACTGAAAAAAAACAAGGGAAAATTGTCCTAACTAAAACCCAATGAAAACACCACTACATCCCACTGACACAGCTAACAAGATAAACGACTTCTTCTCAACCATAGGAATCTAATCTCGCCAATAAAATCCCACATACTAATGCCCATGCCGGGGAGTACCTAGATGGGAATTTCCCAAATTCCTTCTATCTTGCACCAACTGAGCCCACGGAAGTCACCGAGATAATAAAGTCACTTAAAAATAACTCAGGGAATCTGCCTCATGTCCCACCATTACTGTACAAGCGAGCGGCCCATGTCCTTTCGCATGCTATTTCATTACTTTTTAACAAGTCCCTAGAAACTAGCACCTTCCCGAAACTACTCAAGATGGCAAGGGTTACACCAATACATAAAGGTGGTGACCCTACAGACTTAAACAACTATAGGCCAATATCAAACTTACCATTGCTATCCAAAATCTTTGAGAAACTCGTGCACAGGAGACTATATTCATTTATAACGGCACAAAACATACTCAACCCCTGCCAATTTGGATTCAAGGAAAAATAAAAGCACTAATGATGCAATCATAAAAAATGCTAGATCTGCTTTACACAGCATTGGAAAATAAGGAATATCCACTAGGAATTTTTATTGACCTAAGAAAAGCTTTTGACACAGTAGACCACGACATCCTACTCCACAAACTTGACCATTACGGTATAAGAGGCCATGTGCTTGTTTATTTCAAATCTTACCTTACTAATAGGTATCAGTATGTCACCATTAAAGACACAGCATCAACAACACGGCCACTTGATACTGGAGTTCCGCAGGGAAGTGTCCTTGGTCCCCTGCTCTTCCTCATATACATCAATGATCTTCCAAACGTATCCCAACACCTGAAACCCATTCTCTTTGCTGACGACACGACTTACGTCATCTCTCACCCTAATCTTGCCACCCTCAACACCATTGTTAATGAGGATTATTATTATAATCAAGGGGGAAGCGCTAAACCCGGAGGATTATACAGCGCCTGGGGGGGGGATGTGGAAGGCATTCAGGCTTAATTTGGGGAACTGGAGCACAGATCCAATTCCCTAAATCAAGAGCCCCTCACCAACATCAAGGAACCTTCCTTGAGGGGAGCTGATCAAAATATCGACTTGGATGACAGCCAATAAACTTACGCTTAACACTGACAAAACCTACTATATTATGTTTGGTAGCAGAGCAGGAGATGCACAAATTAACATTAAGATCGACAACACTCTAATTACCAGACATAATGAGGGCAAATTCCTAGGCCTATACCTTGACAACAACCTGAATTTCAGCACCCATATCCAACACATAACCAAAAAAGTATCCAAAACGGTTGGGATCCTCTCCACAAAATGCCCTTCTCACACTATACCACTCACTTATTTATCCATACCTCACCTATGCTATTTGTGCTTGGGGATCAAATGCAGCAACACACCTAAAGCCAATAATAGCCCAACAAAAAGCCGCAGTAAGAATAATCACTAAATCCCATCTCTGGCAACCCCCCCCCCCACTCTTCATAGATCTAAACTTACTCCCTGTTCAGTACATCCACACTTACTACTGTGCACTCTACATCTACAGGACCTTAAACTCCAATATCAACCTTGACCTAAAATGCTTTCTTGATAGTTGTGACAGAACCCACAGGCATAACACCAGACACAAACATCTCTACGACATTCCCCGTGTCCGACATTGCAGGGGTCGAGTCCAAGCTCCTGTGTGTGTGTGTGTGTACTCACCTAATTGTGGTTGCAGGGGTCGATACTCAGCTCCTGGCCCCGCCTCTTCACTGATCGCTACTGGATCCTCTCTCTCACTGCTTCCTGAGCTTTGTCATACCTCTTCTTAAAACTATGTATGGTTCCTGCCTCCACTACTTCACTTGCTAGGCTATTCCACTTGCTGACAACTCTATGACTGAAGAAATACTTCCTAACGTCCCTATGACTCGTCTGAGTCTTCAGCTTCCAGTTGTGACCTCTTGTCCCTGTGTCCCCTCTCTGGAACATCCTATCTCTGTCCACCTTGTCTATTCCCCGCAGTATCTTGTATGTCGTTATCATGTCTCCCCTGACCCTTCTGTCCTCCAGTGTCGTCAGTCCGATTTCCCTTAACCTTTCCTCGTACGACATTCCCTTGAGCTCTGGGACTAGCCTTGTTGCAAACCTTTGTACTTTCTCTAACTTCTTGACGTGCTTGACCAGGTGTGGGTTCCAGACTGGTGCGCATACTCCATATAGGGCCTAACATACACAGTGTACAGTGTCTTGAACGATTCCTTATTAAGGTATCGGAACGCTATTCTCAGGTTTGCCAGGCGCTCATATGCTGCAGCGGTTATTTGGTTGATGTGTGCCTCCGGTGATGTGCTCGGTGTTATGGTCACCCCAAGGTCTTTCTCCCTGAGTGAGGTCTGTAGTCTTTGTCCACCTAGCCTATACTCTGTCTGCGGTCTTCTTTGCCCCTCCCCAATCTTCATGACTTTGCATTTGGCTGGATTGAATTCGAGAAGCCAGTTGCTGGACCACATGTCCAGCCAGTCCAGGTCTCTTTGCAGTCCTGCCTCATCCTCGTCCGATTTAATTCTTCTCATCAATTTCACATCATCTGCGAACAGGGACACTTCGAGTCTATTTTCCATCATGCTTTTACATATATCAAAAAAGCACTGGCCCTAAAACTGACCCCTTGGGACCCCCGCTGAACGGCATCCATGTGATACCTTTTCACGTACCATGACTGTTGCTGCCCCCCGTCGGGTTTTTCCCCTTATCCATTGCATGCCCCCCCTTTTTACGTGCGCCTGATCCCCCCACTTCTGATAATTCTTGTGGGGAACTGTGTCAAAGGCCCTTTCCCCTGCAGTCTGGGAAAACCAATCTCCCCCCCCTCTCTCTCGTGTCTTATTCTGTTACCTTGTCAAAAAACTCAGGAGGTTTGTGAACAAGATTTCCCTTCCATAACCCCATGTGGTTTTCTTTTAAAAATTTTGTTCCTTTCCGGGTTTTCGCCATTTCCCCCTAAAAATTTTCCCCCTGACTTTGCACACAAACATTCAGAAACAGGTCGTATTTTAGTGCCCGTTTCGCCCCCCTTTCTTAAATATGGGATACATTAGCTTTTCCTTTCTCAGTATTTTCCCCATTTTCAAGGATGTTTTTGAAGATTGGGGTTTAGAGGCATCACGCACTCTGCTCCTTCTCAAGGGGCCCCAGGGGGAGATTTGTCCGGTCCATGCCTTTGAGGTGTCAGGTCATTAAGAGCTTTTCCCTCCTCCTCAGTTTTTCGTAGTCACCCAAACACTTGTTGGTATATTCCCCTTTTAGTTCCCTTCTGTGCGTCTTCCACACCCCCCCTGTCTCACGTAAAAGTTCTTAATCCCTGTTCCTCCCACATACCTCCTGATCATTTCTTGTGAGTTTCCCCCTTCTGTTTAAACTGATCACCTGGTCTTTGATGTTTCTTCCCCCCGAGTGGTATACAAATTTTGGGTCGTCTTGATTCTCGATCTATTCATTTTTTTTACTGTCGCTGGGCCTCCCTCCCTTTCTGTGCTACTCATTCCTGGCTCTGCGACGTCCCCTATTTTCGGTGTTCTCTGTTCGACTTTTTCCCTTCTCTATTGCACTTTGTTTTTTCCCCCCTTACACCGCGGGTAAAACCCGGGGCTCGTTCTGGTTTTTCCCTTTTTATGTGCCCTTGGGGAAAAAACCTTTCCAGCCTCCTTTCATTTTTGTTGTTACAATTCCATCATTTTATTACTGCTTTCTGCCTTCTCGTCCCCCTGGACCTCCCCGGAAGTTCTTTAACCCTATGTAGTCCCCTCTTTTTTTAAATCGGCTTTTCCCCTTTAAATCCCTTTTTTTCCTCCATTGCAGCTCTCATGTATCAAAAACAGAACCACGTGGTCGCAGCTCCCAGGGGATTCTACTTTGATGTCCTCAATATCTGAGCTGCCCCGGGTGAAAAACAAGGTCCCAAACTTGTGGTTCATCCTCCCCCCTCCTCTGGTAGTGTCCCTTAACATGTTGGGGCATGAG